GTTGGATGTGATTAATCTTTGGAAAAAAGTGATTATTTTAACCACATAATCTAAAAGCATTTTAGAGTAGCTTTTCAACTTTTGCTTTTTCGTCTTTAAAAAGCCAAGAATCATAGAGGTTGTTTGGCACTGCGGTTCTTTTCAGAATTTAGCTTATGCTTTAAGTGGTAGTCATTTTATTCTATTTGTTATACCAAATCTGCTTTCCTTCATCATCATTTTGTATATAGAACACAATTTTAAAGAAGCAGATATATGATGCTTCTACTATCAACTTTTGTAAAAATCACTATATTTACAAATTAATCACTCTCAAACACACTCAGGGTCCGTTTGATATACGGAATTGACGGAATTGAAATTGAATTGGAATTAAAATTCCATGAAATTCAATTCCATAGAATTGAATTATGTCAATTCGAATTTATTTTTTGCACTATCAATTCCAAATCCATATAATTTTTGTGTTACTAAACACCAGAATTGAAATTGAAATTCCCAATTCCAATTCTATAGTTTGAATTCCACGTACCAAACGGAGCCTCATAGTGTTGTAAACACTCCAAAGTGATTCTTTTCAAAGTAGAAGCTAGAAAATCATTTGTAAAAAGCTTAGTCAAACACCTTGTAAGTAAGGTTTCAAACTTTTAATGCTGGGGTAGAATATTGCGTGGTTTAAACCGAAACGAGAATGGGAAAACTAAAACAAAATAAGGAAATAAAGCCAAAAAAAGAAGAAAGGATGAAAGCAAAAACACACGATAAATGGCTGCGATTTGGAAAAATAAGAGTACAATGCAGAAAGAGAAACAATGCAAGCTCACGCGACGGGGGAGACGGCAATGCAGCGTGGGAATTAACCGAAAACAGGCCGCATTTGAAGGGAAGCGAGTCTCTCTCCAGGGAGAGAAGAGAACGGAGAGGGGGGCGAAAAATGCGGGGAGAGACGAGATGACGAACGTCCGATGCGCCACGTGTCCTTATGCGAGTGGCGGATGGCCGGCTCGTTTCCCGCAAGTCTCCCAACAATGTCAGTGCGGTATGTTTGCGAGTTGGGTGATGTGGAAACACTCCCTCCCTCCCCACCCACCCCCCGCCCCCACCTGGGAATCCGTATAGGTATGAACCCCACCCCTCCCTTTCTCTCTCTCTAGAGACTCATCTTCGCTCACTTTCCACCGCTCTCTCTCTCTCTCTCTCTCTCTCCGTCTCAGTCGAATACCCTAATCGCCCAATCTCCTCTTTGCTGCGCGTAGCCCCTCTGTTTCGTTTTGATCGCTTTGGAGGATTGGTATGCCCTGTTCTCAACCTGGCTGGGTCTGTTGATTTTTGACTGTTTTAGTGGTTTGGTTGCAATTTGAGCTGATTCTGGTGTGTTTTCCCCCCCGGTTCACTCTCGTGTGGGTACTTTCTTGATTGTTTGGAATGTTGTGGGATGTTTTTGGTCTTTGGGGAGCTAGAATGCTCTGACTGGGCTGGGACTGTAAATTGGGGGTAAAAAATTTATATTTGTTTAAGCTTAAGCAATTCTCTTGCACAATGAAAGGGATCTAGTTATGCATAACAGCATAAGTATTTCCCTGTAAGCATTTTAGAAGTAATATGATCACTTTATGAGTTTATGGTAGTTTCCTTTATGGTTTACACTAAATATGGTTCCTTTATGTCTTTTTTCCATGCTCTCTCTCCCTCCATATATTTATCCAAACATTTTAGGACCTTTCTTGGAGGATTCAAATGAATAGATGATATGCACAGATTGCTGCAAACTACTCAAACATTTCCTCAAATGCAGTTCTGAAATGTACACACCTTTTTTCAAGCAATGAAAGAAGATGTTGCAGCTGCTAGCAAAATGCTTAACAAAAACTGGGTCTTGAAACGCAAACGCCGAAAGATTCCATCTGGCTTGGATTCATCAACTGTCAAGGAAGAACACTCTGACCCCCCTGAAGCGGCATTTAATAATGCTTCGTCTGAACACGGGGTGAAAGATGAAATTACCTCTTGCCATTCTTCGAGCAAGAAAAGAGGAGACGACGGGGTGGGTTTTCTTTATGTACATTTTCTTGTTTGTGTTATGAGTATTACTTTTTGGCAATTTATACACTGAAATAAAAGTCTTGAACAGTAGAAGGTAAGGAGGATCTCTTTTAAAATGAAATCAGAGATTGCCCAGTATAGGAGTCATGAATGCCTACTGAAGCTTCAAAGAGTAAACTTAGTCTCTAGGGATAAAAAAGTTCTAGCAATCATTTTTTCCTGCTCTCTTGGTTTCATTTTTATGTCTCTTCAATTTATGATGTTAACTTGTGCATTCGTTTGATATAAAAAAACTTTTGTTGTTCAAATAAGTACACTAAGTTTAACAGTGATACACATGTCAAATGATGAGATGAAATGACAATAATTTTTAACTTTAGTGCACTCAGATGATCAAATTTTTACTTTAGTGCACTCAGTTGATCTAAGCACTTTTTTTTGGTTTCCCAGTACTATTATGAGTGTGTTGTGTGTGATCTTGGTGGAAATTTATTGTGTTGTGAGAGTTGTCCCAGAACCTATCACATTCAGTGTCTTGAACCACCGCTTAAGGTATGTTTGCAACTGATTTGAGTATATCTATTCCTTGCAATTTAATTGCATGTTTTTAATTTTTTCTATGTATGTCACTGCAGCATATACCAACAGGAAAATGGGAATGTCCGAAGTGTCATCAGAAGATGGAGTCCCCTGGGCCTACAAGTTATATAGATTCTGATTCAAAACGAGCCAGAACAAAGGTTACCATTGGGGAATCAAAAAATGAGAATAAACCATCTGCAAGTACTAAACTGTCTAAAAATATAGGAGGTTCCGTTCTTGATAATCAAAGATTTTCAAGTAAAGTAAAATCTTCTTTGTCTCATCGAGTAAGAAAGGATAAGCATTCATCCCTAAAAAATGTACTTTTGAAGACTAAACTTAACCATCCTTCAGGAGATGGTACTGCTGGGTGCAGTCCATCAACTGTGAGCATTGAAAACGTGCCAACAAAGAAGGCATCTATTGCCTCTGCTAAGGGAGTTACATCTCTATCAAATGCATTGAATTTGAAGAAGAACGAAGAAGCTTCTATGAGAAAGCATCAGTTGCCATGCTCTGATAAATCTCCCAGTACTCCCACAGATGAATGTGCCACTTTAATGGATTCCGCTTCACGCAAAGAAAGGAAAAGAAAACATGGAATCTTCGCAGAAGACGGTGGAAAGAAGCATAGACGTGTCAAGTCCAAGGATGTGGCCAAGTCTGAAAAAAGTAAATCGGACACAAAAACTCTGCCACACACCAATAAAGCTAAAAGGAAACTCATGTCAATTAACCGCGAACCTTCTGCAAGTATGACAAAACAGGATGTTAGAAAGGATATTGTCAATGAGCAGCTTAAAGAAGAGGTATATCGTATATGGCTATATGCTTCAATTGATGCTAATGATACTATGTACCATCTTTGTTACTTGCTAAAAATACTATAATTACTTGGAATTATTGATTACAATAATCCCATCTATGGGCGCATGGGCGGTCTGCTTTTATAAAATCCAATTATATATTATTTTGTATAATCCTCCATCTGCCATTATTGGCCCTTGACATGTTTAAACTTGTTAGAACTACAGCCAGGATCTTTTGAAATGTTAAATTGGTCTGCTGTTTACATATTTTGCACTATGCCCGCTCTGCTTTTGTTAATCACAATTATCAGTTACTCCATATTTCTTTATTTCCTTTCATGTCCATTTGTGCTATAAAGTTTATTAGGCAAAGGGGCCCCTCTTTCTACTTAAATTTTGCCCGATAGACTATTCTTACTGGGTGTTGTTTGCATTTCACACTTCTCCCACAATGTTTTAAATTTTCCATTTCAGTTTGGTTCGTTCTACAAGTCCATTATAACTCAATATTTCAAGTTTAATGTAATTTTTGTGTTTTTGACTCATTTGGCACCAATACTTTGGAGGTTGTAGAAAATTTTGTTTTCTTAAATTTGTTTCTTGTACCAATGCTTTGATATTTTCTATTTTAATGAAATAATATATTCTAATAAAATAATGAAATTTGCATGCACATTTCTCATATATATCTTTGGAAACATATACAGAAAATTTCAAAATTATCAAGATATGTTATGTGATCTTTTGCCTAACCACAAATATCTATAGATATTTAGTGATATTTCGTTATATCATAAATTAAAGAATGGAATATTGTTAATAGCTTTTGTATGTCTCCATTATTTGGATACCTCAAAGTTCAATAATTCCAAACACATAGTCACATGATAATAAAGGCCGAGATATATCATTCAATGGATTGGGAAAAGAGGATTTCTAGCCAAATGAAGATGTGTGTTCTGCCATCATAATTTTTAATTGGAGCAATAAGTTACCATATTCCCTCCTTTTTGGAATAAATAAAAATGGACTGAACATACTTCAGATAACTGTAAGTGTTCCTTTTTTAAAAATAAAACGATGGGACCAAAATTGGCAGAGTGAGTCCATAGTTGGGATTATACAAAAACGATAGCAATTGCGATTAACAAAAATGCACCGCCCATAGTTGAGATTATTGTAGTCAAAGTTTCCCTATTAATTTATATTTGCTACCGTAAATTTGTCATTAATACATTATACACTTTCCAAAATTGGACTAGTTATTGTTACACATGAAAAGAGTCTTGATTAGATTTTGTTTTGTTTTGTTTCTTGATGAGTTATAAGCAAATGAGTTTAAGTTACATTTCTTAACATTAAATACGGTTTCATGGAGTTTATACACTTTGCAAAACTGGACTAGTTATTGTTACTCATGAAAAGAGTCTTGATTACATTTTGTTTCCTTTGGTTTCTTGACAAGTTATAAGCAAATGAGTTTAATTTACCTTTCTTAACATTATATACGGTTTCATCATGTCAAGTAATTAAACCTTTGTTTTGATGAGTAGAAAAAATGAGGGGAGAGAAAATGGAAAGAAAGAAATAGAGAGGAGAAAATAAAGAGAAAAACTTAATTGTTTGGATGAGTAGAAAATGAAGAGAAAATGAGAAGAAAAGAAAAGGGATACTTTCTTTCCTTTGTTGGATAGAGAAACAAGAGGAAAGAAAATGTAATGATGTAAAATGACCTTTTTGTACAAGAGGATAAAATAGTTTCAAATATTTGAAGGGCAAAGAAGTAATATTAAATGTTCTCTTCACCCATACACTTTTCTCTTCTTTGACGGAGAGAAAATTTTTAGCATGGCAAAACCCTCTTTTTTCTCCTCCCGATTTTCTTTCTCAGCCAAACAAGGGAAAATGCCTTCAAATTTTTGCTTTTCTCCACCCTTTTTCTTTCTTTGCATTTTCTCTCCATCCAAATGGCTTGGGCACCTGGAATGAGATAACTTCCCGGAATAAGTGAATATGTTGTTTTGTCTGATGCCCTTTTAGGGGAAAAACAATGTAGAAAACACCTTATTCAGGGTCATTCTAGGATCTGGTGTGTAGTTTTGTCGTCCTCTCCGCAACTGTTAAGAAGTCGTTTAGGTGCCCCCCCTTCCTCCTTCCTTTTTTAGAGTCTGGACCTTCATCCTAGACTTCAGTTTAGGAGAGACTTGTTGGATGGAGGGAGCATTATGGTGTTTAGTTACTTCTGGTGGAAAGTACCTTGTGAAGATATGTATATAACAATAGATTTCGCATTACATTTGACCTACAGGCTACAGGCCTAGAGGAGTTTGTAGTGTCTGTCATTTTGGATGATTCCCAATAAGTTGCAACAAATTATATTCATTTGCACTGCAGATGATTAATTAATATCACCTCTTATAATTTATCCATTTTGTTATGATTTGCATGAAAATTCAAAAGATAACTATGAGCTATGATAGTTTTTAATTCCAATATGAAATACTTAATTAAAAAGATTTAATTTTTGAGTTGCTTTTTTAATTGCCTAAGCTGTGATTTGAATATATATATATATATGTGTGTGTGTGTGTCTGTGTGTGTGTATATATATTTGTGTGTGTGTACAAAGTATATATCCGTGTGTGCATATGTATATGTGCGTGTGTGTGTGTGTATATATATACATATATGATATTTTTCTATTTTTATTTTTAATTTTTAGCCTTGTTACTATTATTCCTGCGTCATTTGTTCTGGTTACATTCACTTTGTAGGTAGTGTCTGAAGAAGCATCCCTCCCATCCAATGAATTGGGAAAAGTTACAGTTGGACCACTCACATATGCAGAAATTGGTGTTGATGTTCAACAGGTACAGTTGGTGTATGATATAATGTTATACTTGCATGTGCTACTTTAGTGTACCAGGTGCATAGAAATATCCTTCCTGCCGATTCATTAAACAGGAGGAAAAAACATGAATTCTCAAAAAAGAAAAAGAAAGAAAAATGTAGGAACTGAATATTACTCAAATGCAGGTTGATAGGGTACTGGGTTGCCGAGTTCAAGATGTTGATACAAGAAAATCATGGAGTAATGTTGGAACGACTTTGAATGGTCATGCACAGTCAGAGGGTTCCCCTGTTCCTAAAGATTCCAATAAGCTGAATGACAGAAATCCCAGCTGTGTTGTAGGTTGCAATGAGATAGCTTCCAATGATGGCCCTGATGATTGTCCTGATCAAGCAAGGAACACAAAAAATGATGTTCGAAACGATAACACTCAAGGATACAGAAAATCAGTGATCAAAGAGTTTAAAGGTGTTAATTCCGCAAGCACAGAAGATGAGTGCTTCGTAGATTACCATGTGAATGCAGAAGAATCTACTAAAACTAATGAGAAAACTCCAAACAGAAGTGATTCCTATGCGGAGAACCATGATGGTAATGAAAATATGGAATGTTCTGAAGATCTCGCCTCTAATCTACTAGCAAGTGTGAAGGTGGTTGATACAGTTTTGGCTGCCAGTAGCGTGAACCAAAAGAAACAGAAGGGATCCATCTTGGCTGACTCATTGAATTCTGAAGGAGAAATAGTCTTGTATGAATATCTGATAAAATGGGTTGGGAAATCTAATATCCATAATACATGGATACCAGAGTATGAGCTTAAAATTATTGCAAAACGAAAGCTGGATAATTATAAGGCAAAGTATGGGACAACAACAATAAATATTTGCGAGGAGCAATGGAAGATTCCTCAACGAGTAATTGCTGTCCGGTCTACTTCAAAGGGTGCAAATGAGGTTCTTGTGAAGTGGACTGGTCTCCCATATGATGAGTGCACTTGGGAAAGGATAGACGAGCCTGTGATCTTGAAATCGTCCCACCTGATTGATCTGTTTCACAAATTTGAATACCAAGCTTTGGAAAGAGATGCTACTAAGGATGACATATTGAAGAAACAAAATGAATATCAACAAAGTGATATATCCTCTCTCACAGAGCAGCCTAAAGAACTCCAAGGAGGCTTATTATTTCCTCATCAAATGGAAGCCTTGAATTGGTTGCGCAAGTGTTGGTTCAAGTCCAAAAATGTTATTCTTGCTGATGAAATGGGGCTTGGGAAAACAGTTTCAGCTTGTGCTTTCTTGTCCTCAGTGTACTTTGAGTTCAAAGCTAGACTGCCTTCACTTGTCTTGGTTCCTCTTTCAACACTGCCAAATTGGATGTCAGAGTTTTCACTGTGGGCACCTGAACTAAATGTGGTAGATTATCATGGGAGTGCCAGAGCAAGAACCATAATTCGTCAATATGAATGGCATGCCGGTGATCAAAATGGTTCAAATAAAAAAACTTCGTACAAATTTAACGTTCTCTTAACCACTTATGAGATGGTTCTTGCTGATTTGTCCAATCTGCGATGTATTCCATGGGAAGTTCTTGTGGTGGATGAGGGGCATCGTCTAAAAAACTCCAGCAGCAAGCTTTTTGGCTCACTCAACACATTTTCATTTCAGCATCGTGTGCTTTTAACTGGTACTCCTCTTCAGAATAATATAGGAGAGATGTATAATCTACTCAATTTCTTACAGCCAACGTCCTTCTCATCATTGTCTTCATTTGAGCAGAAGTTTAATGATCTTACCACAGCTGAAAAGGTAGAAGAATTGAAGAAACTTGTTGCACCACACATGCTCCGGCGGCTTAAGAAAGATGCCATGCAAAATATTCCTCCTAAAACAGAACGCATGGTTCCTGTTGAGTTGACATCTATTCAAGCAGAGTACTATCGTGCAATGCTGACAAAAAACTATCAAATTTTACGCAACATTGGAAAAGGTGTAGCACAGCAGTCGATGCTCAATATTGTGATGCAGTTGAGGAAAGTATGCAACCATCCTTATCTAATACCTGGTACTGAGCCAGAATCTGGCTCATTGGAATTCCTCCATGAAATGCGGATAAAGGCTTCTGCAAAGCTAACTCTTCTCCATTCTATGCTCAAGATTTTGCACAAAGAAGGTCATAGAGTCCTCATATTTTCACAGATGACAAAGCTTTTGGATATCCTTGAGGATTATTTGACGATTGAATTTGGCCCCAAAACATATGAGAGAGTTGATGGATCTGTTGCTGTGGCTGACCGTCAAACAGCAATTGCACGTTTTAACCAAGACAGAACTCGTTTTGTGTTCTTGTTATCAACACGATCCTGTGGTCTTGGAATCAATCTAGCTACTGCAGATACTGTGGTCATCTATGATTCAGACTTCAATCCCCATGCTGATGTCCAAGCGATGAATCGAGCACATAGGATTGGACAATCAAATAGACTTCTAGTATACCGGCTGGTTGTCCGTGCTAGTGTTGAAGAACGTATATTGCAGCTAGCTAAGAAGAAATTGATGCTGGATCAGCTTTTTGTAAATAAATCAGGGTCACAGAAGGAGGTGGAAGATATCCTAAGATGGGGAACTGAAGAACTTTTTAGTGATTCTTCTACCATAATTGGAAATGGGTTAGGTGAAAATCTCAACAATAAAAATAAAACTGATGCAGTTATTGAAATAGAGCAGAAACATAGGAGGAAAACTGGTAGCCTTGGGGATGTATATAAGGATAAATGTGCTGAAATCTGTACCAAGATAGTTTGGGATGATAATGCCATTTTAAAGTTGCTTGACCGATCAAACCTCCAGTCAGATTCACCTGATAGCAATGAAGCTGAATTGGAGATTGATATGCTTGGTTCAGTGAAGGTAAAATTTAGTCACTATATTATATAGGCTTACATATGTTTTAGGTCCTTGTAACATTAGTATCTTGTTTTTCAACACTAATTTACTCCAGTACTTTTTTTAAGTCACCTTGTTTCTTCAGTTTACTTCCTGTTTAAAAAATGTTAACATTGCTGAAAGAATTTCAGTCTTGCTTTCATATCATTTAGTTTCTAATAGTACTCCCTTCATTCCCTTGGATTCTTTATCATTTAATTCTACTGTCAAGGGCAAATATGGAAAGTAACTAACATTCTTACATTTGTCTAAAACTCCGTGGAATCTTAAATGTCAGGAATCAAAAGGGACGGAGGGAGTACTACACTCTCTGTCTCTTTTTACTGTTCCCATTTGCTTTTTGCAAAAGGTTTAAGGAAATGTGATATTGCTTGGTTGAGAATTATGAAGAGGAGAGAAACAATATGATAAACACAATTTTTTCCTTAAAAGGAAAGAAGATTCATTAGGAATATCCCAAAAAGGACAGTAGGAAGGATAAAAAAGGGTCGGAGGGGGGTTTATTTCATTTCTTGAGAGCCATCTAGGCATAAATTGAAACTGGTGGATTTATCTAAGAAAGTATACTAGCACAAAGGCTTACATTGAGTTTAGCATTCACTACAAAATTACAAAGAACTGGAGAAATAGAAACAATCTTAAATTCAGCTAGGTTGATGTATTTAGCTAGTACTTCTGTATATGTGTGCAGAATAGTTTAACCATTGATATATGTTCATGTGAAAAGGTAACTAGTGGATAATGTATATGGTGTGCTTCTGTAGCTATGATTATGGTGGTGAACTCTTTCTTTTTGCAATAAAAAAATTGGTATTCATCAAAGAGGAAAGTCATAGTTCAAGGACTGGATGATTGTATTTATGAGTTGGAATATAGTCAATTAATGGGAGAGAAAAGTTTGAAGAACAACCAATTATAGATCTTGAAGTACAATTCTTTGTAGTTATCACAATTCTGAAAGGCAATGAACACTACAAAAACCCTCTTGTTCTTGTATTAAAAACAAAACTTTTTTTTCAAGCAGTCTTCTGAGTGGAATGAAGAAGTGACCGAAGAACAGCCTGATGAATTGGAACTTACCGTGGTGAATGATGATACAAGTGACCAGAATTCTGAGAAGAAAGAGGATAATATAGTTGGTAACAGTACAGAAGAAAATGAATGGGACAGACTTCTGCGGGTGAGGTAAAATGTAGTATTTACAGTGACAATTCAAACATCTTCCGTTACACTGTTATTGACGGTCAGATTGAAATCCCTTTTCCCTTAGCTACTAAAGAAGTTTTTACTGTTGTATTGATTTGTAAGAGAAATATATGCCACATAAAAACCAATATTGGTTCATATAAAAAACATAAGATTACTACTTACCAATATGGTGTATAATTTCATTTGTCACAAGTAATGACACAGACCTAGTCTGGAACATGTGTTTGCACAAGTTATAATTACCTACAGGGTGGAGTAAAATTGAACCTGATAGGATTTGAATAACCCTGGAGGTCTCCCTTGTTCATTGCTTGCCAAGTCCTCTTCGATCTACCTCTTCCTCTAGCTACATGCCAAATCACCACTAGATCAACCCCAGGATGCTCTATTGGTCTTTTCTCCACATGTCCAAACCACCTAAAACGCGTCTCCACCATCTTTTCTACAATAGGTGCCACTCCAAATTTAGCTCTCATATCTTCATTTCTTATTCTATTCATACGCGTATGACCGTTCATCCAACAAAGTATCTTTATTTCCGCCACACTACCCTTGTGTTCATGTTCACCCTTTGCTGCCCAAAACTCTGTTCCATACAATATAGCTGGTCTAATAGCAGTACAGTGGAATTTTTCCTTTAGTTTTAAAGGTACTTTTGTCACATACAAAGCCCGAAGCACTCTTCCATTCTGACTAATCAGCTTGAATATTGTGGTTAACATCATCCTCTATTTCTCTATTGTCTTGAAAAGATATTTAAATCTCTTCACTTGTGGTATAGTATTTTCTCCAATTTTCACCTTGATGTTACTTTTTCTCCTTTTGTTGCCAAACTTGCACTCCATATACTCTGTTTTAGTGCGACTTATACGCAAGCCATGTAACTCCAAACCCTCTCTCCATGCATCTATTTTCCCATTCAGACCCTTTTGTGATTGAAAAAATTGCTGCTAGGTACCCCCAATTTTGTGATAAGAACTCGCAGGTCCCATTATTTTTCAAAATATACTCCAGGGTACCTTAAAATATTCAAAAAATGACTCCTGGGTGACAATCCGTCTATGTGTTCGTCAATGTTTTCCTCTCCGTTATCTTGTTCTCCTTCTTCATTTCTTCATCCTCTTTCGATCTCCTCATTTCTTCTTTCTTCTTCTTTTTTCTTTTTCTTTCTTCTTCTTCTTCTTCTACGCCTTCCCATCCAATCAGTCTCCCATCCCTTCCCTTTTTTCTTCTTCTTTTTCTTCTATTATTATTGTTATTATTATTATTATTATATTATTATTATTATTAATTATTTCATTATTTGTTATTATTATAATCATTATTTATTATTATTATTTTATTTAATTAGTAGTTTGACTAATCTAACTTTTTTAGTTGTTTTACTACTCTAAAGCTTTAATTGAAAATTACTTTTAGTAATATATTTATGTATAGTTTATAAAATTAAAATTATTTATTCACTTGGTTATAAATTATACGTCGTAATTCATAATAATATAAAATTTAGAACTGTTTTTTATTGTTTAATATGTAGTATTATTATCTTTAAAAAAATCTAGAGGCACTTATTCATCTTATTCTTTTCTCAAGTCCTCTCGTTTTCTCGATTTACCATGACACCACTACCCATGGAGACTACTGATGACTAATGCGTGGCTAATGTGAAAGACAACATCGGATGGCAAAAAATAGAGTAGTAAAACTACTAATAATTTGTTTAACAATAATATAATAATAAGTGTTATTTTAAATAATAAAAGCTATTTTTCCAAACTATGTTTTTCAAAATATTAGATAGATATTGATACAAAATAGTTTTATTAGATAGATATTGATACAAAAACAGTTTTATTAAATTTATTATATAAAATATTTTCAAAATATTATTTTATCGAATTAATATAGAATATATATTTTATTTAATTGTAGGTCAAAGATTAAAAACGGTTAAATAAAAAAAGCCAAAGCCTGATAGATACTCTTGGACGGAGATAGTATTATTTATTTCCAATTATTTTCTTAATTATTATTAAAAATTAATTAGTAGTTTTATTACTTTATTTTTCAGAAACCACAATCATTATTATTTAGAAAAATAGCTTTTATTATTTAAAATAACACTTATTATTATATTATTGTTAAACAAATTATTAGTAGTTTAAGTACTCTATTTTTTGCCATCCGATGTTGTCTTTCGCATTAGCCACACATTAGTCATCAGTAGTCTCCATGGGTAGTGGGGTCATGGTAAATCGAGAAAACGAGAGGACTTGAGAAAAGAATAAGATGAATAAGTGCCTCTGGTTTTTTTAAAGATAATACTACATATGAAACAATAAAAAGCAGTTCTAAATTTTATATTATTATGAATTACGACGTATAATTTATAACCAAGTGAATAAATAATTTTAATTTTATAAACTATACATAAATAAATTACTAAAAGTAATTTTCAATTAAAGCTTTAGAAGTGTAAAACAACTAAAAAAGTTAGATTAGTCAAACTACTAATTAAATAAAATAATAATAATAAATGATTATAATAATAAAAAAATAATAAAATAATTAATAATAATAATAATATAATAATAATAATAGAAGAAGAAGAAAAAAGGGGAGGGATGGGAGACTGATTGGATGGGAAGGCGTAGAAGAAGAAGAAGAAAGAAGAAAAAAAAAGAAGAAAGAAGAAAGGAGGAGGAGATCGAAAGAGGATGAAGAAATGAAGAAGGAGAACATGCAAGATAACGGAGAGGGAAACATTGACGGTCACATAGACGGATTGTCACCCGAGAGTCATTTTTTGAATATTTTAAGGTACCCCGGAGTATGTTTTGAAAAATAATGGGACCTGCGAGTTCTTATCACAAAATTGGGGGTACCTAGCAGCAATTTTTTGTTTGTGATTCGTCAATAAGGATGATATCATTAGCAAAAAACATGCACCATGGTATGGGATCTTGGATAGGCTCGGTAAGAACGTCAAATATTAGTGTAAAAAGATATGGGCTTTATGATGACCCTTGGTGTAGTCCTACATTGATGAGAAATTCCCTTGTTACCCCACTTTGACTTCTCACGCTCGTTATAGCATCATCGTACATGTCCTTAATCGCACATATATAAGCAATCCTTCTTTTTTCTCTAACACCCTCCATAATACTTTTCTTGGTACCCTGTCATATGCCTTTTCCAAATCAATAAAAGTCATGTGTAAATCTTTCTTCTCACTTCGGTACCTCTCTCATTCTCCTCACCGAGTATATAGCCTCCGTAGTTGATCTTCCTTGCATAAAACCAAACTAGTTCTCTGTCACAGAAGTCTCTTGTCTCAACCACCGTTCTACCACTCTTTCCCACAACTTCATGGTTGGACTCATAAGCCTTATCCCTCTATAGTTTTCACAACTCCGAATATCCCCCTTTTTCTTGTATATAGGAACCAAAATGCTCTTCCTCCATTCGTTAGGCACCAAATGCTCTTTCCCCCTAAACCTTTCCAAACTTCAATCGGGATATTGTCTGGGCCCACTGCTATGCTATTCTTCCTCCATGTTACTCCTTTACTTCAATTTTTTGAATTATCCGATAAAAATTGAAGTTTTGATCCTCCTTCTTCGTGTGTAGTCAATTGGAGCATGAGGGATTCACATGTCCCTCATTAAACAGAGCATTGAAGTAGCTCTTTCACCGGTCATTTATGATTTCATCAGAGACCAAAACATCATCATTCTTATCTTTAATGCACTTAAATTGGTCCAATTCCCACATCTTTCTTTCTCGACCCTTTGCAATCTTATAAATACCTCTTTTTCTTTTTTTCGTACCCAGCAACTGGTAAAACCCTTCATACGCTCTCATTTTTGCTTCACTTACAGCCACTTTTGACTCCATTTTAGTTGTATTATACCTTTCCCAATTTTCCACATTACGGCCTAAAGACCAGTCCTTGAAATGTTCCCGCTTTACCTTTACCTTATCTTGCATACTAGCGTCCCATCACCATGATTCTTTGTCTCTTGCATTAGCATCTTTAGTTTCTTCAAGGGTTGCTTTACCTTTCTCTTAGCGTTTGCTCCCACCCAAATTGTTTCCTGCAAGCATAGACTATTAATCCTTCTCCGTGTCATAGTATCTACCAACTCCATAGACTTGCCTTTCAGGGTGCCTATGTTCCATGTCCCAAACCGCAACTTATCTTTACCTTTACCTTTTCCTTTGCGAACTACCTTATTTACCCACGTCCGTTCACCAAAATTTGGGAACCCTTGCTTATTTTGCATTAAACCTGGGCACTGATGTAGCGGCCCTTGCTCATGTGACACTGTACTCAAGCCATACAGTGTGTTGCTTCTGGGCAACAAACTAATTTTAGCGCAATATCGTGTTTGATCCATGTCATAAAGATTTGAGTATTTGACAAAGTTTTACATTGGTTGTCGAGACCTAACACAACCCTCCTCTTTAATACGGGCTTGGGACCGGCTATGTAACGTAGTTACATAGGCAAAGTTTCTAATGTTGGCTTACTTCCATGCAGACTATGCTAACACTGCACTGGTTTTTATAACCATATCATTATCAACAATATAACAGATTTGTTGATGTCTAAATACGCTCTCTCTTTCTCTCACCACACTTGTGAAATACGAGTTATTGATACATTGTTGGTCTCTTTCATTATGTTACTTGAGTGCTCATTGATTTTGTAGATGGGAGAAACACCAAAGTGAGGAGGAAGCAGTTCTTGGGCGTGGTAAACGCCAAAGGAAGGCTGTTTCCTACCGGGAGGCTTATGCTGCACACTCAATTGAAACTTTAAGTGAGGTACTATCTTTGGTCTCTCATGCTAAATCTATGTGTACTTATGCATTAGAAACAGCTAAGTGAACATACATTAAAGTCATTTCTGCTCGGGCATTACAGAATTGGGCTGAAGAAGATCAGCAGCCGAAACCCGAGCCTGACCCCGAGCCAGAGAAGGAGTACACTCCGGCAGGAAGAGCACTGAAGACAAAATAGTAAGTTCCATTTTCAAATTTATATTATTTTAAACATTTCACTCCTTTGATACAAAAAGATGAAATTAATTGCTGCAAATTCATCGGTAGTACTCCCTTGTCCTAGTTGTCCCATAAAAGGAGTCTTATTTCTAACTTATTTTTGCTCCCCAATTTTAAAAAAAACTCATCAGGTTTTATGTTTTTATATAAAATATCCCAAACAAGTTGAATGTGTTACATTTAGTTAAAAAGAAAAGTGCACCGTTTACCCCCGAACTCTTTAGAAATTGCATGGTTTATCCCTGAACATTAAAAAGTGCACCATTTACTCTTGAACTCTTCAAAAATTGCACGATTTACCCCTAAACATTAAAAAGTGCACCAAATACTCTTGAACAATTTTAAACTTTGCATTGTTGGTCCTAAATGTTAGATAGGGAGTGCATTGCTCCCACGCACGCCCTTGTCAATTTTCCAAAATACCCTTCCCCAAAATTATTGTCTTTATTCAAATGTTCAGTGGTAAATCGTGCAATTTCCGAAAAGTTCAGGGGTATTTGGTGCTTTTTTTGGTATCCAGGGGTAAACCGTGCAATTTCTAAAGAATTCAAGAGCATTTGATGCACTTTTTAATGTTCAGGGGTAAATCGTGCAATTTCTGAAGAATTTGGGGGTAAACGGTGCACTTTTCTCATTTAGTTAAACTAATATGGAGTGCATTAAACCAAAAAATATAGCTATATTTGATGGTTTTCAAATTTCAATAGTTGTACCTTACTAAAATGAAAGAGTTGTACCATTGTGAAAGCAGAATTTTTTTGTGGGACAGGAGTATAATATTCTATGATACTCCGTATAAAATAAGGAAATGAAAGGCCACAGGAAGCTTGACGCCTATAGGTGTATATCTATAAAGGAAAAGGTTGGATGACCAAAACAGTTAGAGCAAAATGGCATGAAAAAATTGGGAAAGAGGAGGCATTGGGGTGCTATGCTCTACCTCGAAAGCTTTCTTGGCCTGGTTTGGGCTGTTAGCTTTGCCTCAATATCTTGATATTCTTGTTTTGTCTTTTGAATTTCACTGATATGTTTGCAAATTGCAACTGCAATTAGGGAACTAATTTTTTTCTCTCTTCCACTCTTGTATTTTCTGTTGGAACAGTACTAAGCTTCGTGCTAGACAAAAAGAAAGATTGGCTAGAAGACATGACATGGGAGCTTCTGCACCAAGTGAAAGATGTACTGGAATTCAGTTCCTTCAGTCACAGGCTCAGGATGGAAATTTAACACCTTTATCCATTCAACATAGTGAAAAGAATTCGTCAGCTCTATTCATAGATGCTAGTAGTTGTGGGCAGACTCCTGCCGTGCCAAAAAACAAGACTGATTCAAACATAAGAACTGTAAAATTACCAAAGTGTAAGTTGAGTGAACATCTTGGTCAACCTCTCCATGATTCTCAATCAAATCCTGGAGAGGGCATAAGTTGTCTGAACTCAGAGGGAAACACCCCCCTTGTGATCGGATTATGTGCTCCAAATGCCTACCAAATGGAATCATCACAGAAGAAATTTACAAGATTGAACAACCGAAAAAACAGGGTGAATTCGGGATCTGAGTTGCTGACAACTACTGCTGCTTGGCCCACAACATCAGATGAGATGGGTACTAAATTTCATGAAAATGTATCTGGTAAATCTAAAATGGCAGATACTCCACTTGATGTCTCCCAATCTCGGTCAAAGATTAGCATCTCTGATTTGTATCATCCAATTAATTCAGTATGTTATCTTCTCTGGTCCATACCCCCCCTCGTGGTTTACACACACAAGTTGTAATATGCCTAGTTGGTCATACACATTTATGTTTATGTAGCTCTTTTTTTATTTTTAATATTTGCAGCATCATCTCATTTTCCAGCAAGGCAAAGGATCTGCTGTTAACTTAGAGGGCTCAGCATCTAGCTATGCAGCTTTTCAAGAAAAAATGGCACTGCCCAAATTACCTTTTGACAATCAATTGCTACCCAGATATCCATTTCCTGCTGAGAATTTTGCTTCTCCACACCCTGGAATTTTCCCTAGTATGTCATTGGGATCAAGAGTTATTGCAGATGTTAATCAACCACAACATGATCGCATTATGCATTTGTTTCCAAATTTCAACTTTTCTATGCCCGACGCATCTAGGTGTAGTCAGCAAGAACTGGAATTGCCTCCAACACTTGGATTAAATCAGATACCTACTAAGTTGCCTTCATCATTTCCTGAAAACCACAGGAAAGTTTCTGAAGATATCATGCTAAGAACTGGAACAGGATCATCGGGAAATCTATCAAAAAAGAAATGTATCCATATTTGGTCCGAAGAAGAACTGGATAACCTGTGGATTGGGGTTCGTAGACATGGACAGGGTAACTGGGATGCCATGCTGCAAGATCCTAGTTTGAAATTTTCAAAGTTCAAAACTGTGGAAGATCTGTTGGTGAGATGGGAAGAGGAACAAATCAAAGTTTTGGATATACCATCATTATTTACTGGGAAGGGACTGAAGCCACCTAAAGTTGGGAAATCGAGCATGTTTCCATGCATTCCTGATGAAATGATGACAAGGGCATTGCATGGAAGCAAGTTTGGTGGGCCATTGAAATTCCAGAACCAGCTGACTGACTTGAAATTGGGTTTCAGTGACTTGCCTCCTACCTTTTCACATGCAGACCATCTCAGCCATATTTATCCCCTCCCAGCATGGAATGCTGATAAGTACCCACCAAGTGTTTCCAGAGACTTAAGTGCAGGGCCCTCAAATTTTCTCATGGAGTCCCCTTTGATGCTGAATGCTTTGGCTACAAGTACTTTTCGACCTCTTGGTCTAAATAGCACCGGAAACTTTCCTCAAAAAGAGGGGGGAGAAAGTGCAAGTCGTTTTGGAAAATTATCCAACATTCTTGACCAATCATTGAATTTCATGCACGATAGTAAACATGCTGGAAATGGCGAGTCAAGCGGGTTTTCCCTGCCTTCAGATAAAACCAATAAGGGAAAGCATGTTCTCCCATCATCGAAGGGGAAAGAGGTGGCAAAATGTGGTTCAAAGATAAAGCTTCCTCACTGGCTTCAAGAAGCAGTGAATATTCCACCTCCCGACTGTGCTGAACCTGCATTGCCGCCTACTTTGTCTGCAATTTCACACTCAGTCCGCTTACTTTACGGGGAAGGAAACCCCACAATTCCTCCCTTTTCTGTTCCTGGTCCGCTACCTTCTCAACCATCAGATCCCCGACTGAGCTTGAAGAAGAAGAAGAAGAAGAAGAAGAAGAAACATAGATTCCATATGCCCTCGGAATTCCTACAGAGTTTTAAGGAATCTAGTGATGATACCCCCCAAGGAGGCCTTCCCAGTGAGAAACAGGGTTCAACTTTTGCTCATCAAGACCAACAGGCGTCTTTTGTGCTTTTAAATTCTGTTGCTAGCACTTCAGAGCCAGGGGTTGACTTGTGTTCTCCAAGTCAGAATATTTCTAACCCTTCGTCCTTTCCAGCTAAGGCACCTCTGCCAAATCTCACAACTGCTGAATCTGTATTTTCTCCTTCCCCCGAAGTGCTTCAGTTGATTGGTATGTCTGTTCTAAGTCAGAATATGATGAACCCTTCCTCGCTGCCATCTGGGCACAATATAACGACTAATCCTTCATCTGAAGTGCTTCAATTCGTTGGTATGCCCTCTCTAAGTCGCAGTATTATGAAGCCATCTCTGCAAAACGTTACAGCTGCTTCTGAACTGTCTCCTTCATCTGAAGTGCTCAAATTGGTTAAGTCCTGTATGGCTCCCAATCCGAGGGAAATCCAAGAAACTAAACAGAAACTGGAGATGGTGTCTGAATTTCTACAGGGTTTAGAGGAATCTGGCGCTGCCTCCCAAAGGGACCTTCGTTGTGAGAGAAATGGTTCAACTCATCAAGAGCAATCTTCTCTTGTGCTATTAAAATCTGTTGCTGGTGGTACTTCCGAGCTTGCCCCAACCGAACCCGATTTTGGCATGTCATCTCCAAGTCAGAATATGATGAACCCTTCATCATTGCCATCTAACCCATCTCCACGAAATAAGATCACTGCTGAATTGTCCCCTTCTCCTATTTCTCCCAATGATGAAGCAAATGCGGCCTCATCTCAGGCAGAGAAAGATCAAAGCGAGAGAAGCATGGCTTCTCATTCAGATCCTGCCCGAAGTGGGCAGCACGATGCGGATGTCGATGGAGTGTCTTCAAAAGGAACTGTTTCTGTTCATGTTGCTGCTGAACCATAAATTTGGGAGTTCTTATTTTGTTTTTTGCTTTTTTTTTGGGGGGGGGGGGTGTTGTTTTCCAATGGTACGCTGCAGGAGGTTTAAGTCGCTGAGCCTCAATCAGACTCATTTTTTGTAGAGAAGGATGCAATTGATGTAATGTGTAGTAGTATATAGTTAGACCAATTTGTAATGTAAAGGCTATGTAAGAGAAATGTAATCATAGGGTGATGTTGTAATAGTGGGGTGTTAAGAAGGGAGAACTTAATTACTTTCTGGTTTTGAAGATTCCCGAGCAATTGTTCCAAATATCCTACGGAGTAGTTATTATGGAAAGCGGATGTAGAAGATATTCCTTTCCCGATATTCAAGATATTTTCGAAATTGCTTGGGAATATTACATCCGTAGCTTATAAACAAGAGAATGCTTCAAATAAAATGGTCACAAATTTTACAAATTTACTATTTGTGAGTTTTAATAAAAAAAATAAAGTAGTCTAAAATAATTTAAATGGGAATTCAATCTATAAATAGTTTGTGAGTTTTGTGTAGAAATTAATAAGAGGGAAAATATTTCTGTATATTGAATTGACTTGTGAATACAAAGGTCTAACCCTCTTTATATAGGAAGAGAGTAAAGCATATAAGTAAACTTTTATTCTTATCATATTTTTATTCCTACTATAACAAGAACTAACCAAACTAGGAAAGATACTAAACTGAATCCCAAAGGAACTCAGTTTCCTTCGTTAATCCGGCTTCCTTCTTCTGTCGCCAACATCGATACCATGTAAAAATTAATAAGAGGAAAATATTCTGTATATTAAATTGGCTTGTGAATACAAAGACATAACCCTCTTTATATAGGAAGAGAGTAAAGCATATAAGTAAACTTTTATTCTTACCAAATTTCTATTTCTACTTTAACAAGAACTAAGCAAACTAGGAAAGATACTAAACTGAATCCCAAAGGAATTTAGTTTCCTTCTTTGATCCGGCTTTCTTCTTCTGTCGCCAAGCTCCGATACCATGTAAAGGAACCGATTCAACCAAAAGCTCAAGCTTTGTTGCTTTGTTCAATCTTTTGATGTCCAAGCTGGGTATGTTGAACTCCCATTCTCCAGCTTGAGGAGGGGTGTTGGCGACAGAAGAAGGAAGCCGGATCAACGAAGGAAATTGAGTCCCTTTGTGATTCGGTTTAGTATCTTTCCTAGTTTGTTTAGTTTTTGTTATAGTAGGAATAGAAATATGGTAGGAATAAAAGTTTACTTATATGCTTACTCTCTTCTTATATAAAGAGGGTTAGACCTTTGTATTCATAAGCCAATTCAATATACAAAATATTTTCCCTCTTATCAATTTCTACATTTTGTAATTATTTTGTTTGTGAACCAAATATTTATGATAGAACAAACATATATTCCAAATATCATAGAATTGAGTAAATTTATTTTCAAATCAATTTATATGAAAATTGTGGGGTAATTAAAAAATAATATATATATATTTAAAAATTACATAAATTTTTACTCCGTACAAAATAAGATGTGATATAATTATATTATTTTATTAAGAAAACCCCCTAAATAGGAGTAAAACATGTATCATATTCTAAAGTAGTACTCCAAACTTAAACTCCCCTAAATAGGAGTTAAAGTATTGAAATATAAAATTTGAGATCCATTCACAGTCAAAATAGTCGGAAATTCCATGCCAGCGTCTTTCTATGGAGCCGATCAGCAAATTGTTCTTAAGTCTAGTTTGAATGGATAGTGTATGGGAAAATCCATGCCTGCGTCTTTCTAAAGCCGATCAACAATTTTATCATCTTGGTAGAGTCCTATCACTAATATTTTTTTCTTGATTACTTCTTCCCCGAAATTAGAGCGCCAATCGCATTCGACTTTGCTTAAAGCCAATCCTCTTCTTCTCCAATCAATTTTAATCGCCATCGCCAACCAATCACAGCTTTATCACCGCCACCTCCGCCAAATCATAGTGCCGTCGATGCTGCAGCCATGCACCCCATCCCTCTCAGATTCATTGCCGCACTCGTGTCACGCCGCCCACCTCCATATCTCTTCCTCAAAGCATGATTTCAAAACTGAGCATTTTCTCTCTCGATCTTTAATTGAGTTCTATTTTTTTCAAAATTCTCGCTAGCGGTCGTGGAGGGCATTATATTTGGTTTGGCATTATGTCATTGTGTAACATTGTGACATTATATATAAGCATATATGGCATTATATATGGGCATCTATGATATTATACATTGTCATATGTGACATTATATGGTGCCATGTTTGACGTTATGCCATTCTTTTACACTGTATTGACTGTTAATGTGGCATTGTGGCGACGATGGTGGAGATTGTAATGGTAGCGTCGTTGATAATAGTATAGAGCGGTGATGTCGTCAGTGGTGATGATGAAAAATTAAAGACGTCAATGGTAGGTTTCGATTGCAGCGGTGCGGTGGGGCAGAGTATAGGACGACGGCGGTGGAGATTAAAATGATAGTGGTAGGGATGCGAAGCGACGATGGCGGAAGTGGGCATCACCATCGACGACGATTGCAGTAATGGGCGTCGTTGTCGGCAGCATGCTAATGTGAAGTTGGTCGATTTTTTTTAGTTTTGGACTTGGCCGCCACTGGCGGATCTATTGCTAAGCTAAGGGGGTAAAACTTAAAAGTGGTGATCTATTTACATTTGTGGATCTATTGGCTCCATTGCCTGTGGGGAGCATTTTTTGTTTTATTAATTAAGTTAATTACTCCTATTTAGAGGAGTTTAAGTTTGAACTCCTATTTTAAGGATATGACATACCTTTTACTCCTAGTTTGGTCCTTCTCCCTATTTTATTAACACGGTTAGGTTCTATTGACACTTATTTTGAGTGTGTCTATGGATGACACAATTTAAGCATCTGTGATGCTACGTTCGTAAAATCGATTTTTTCTATTTTCATTATATCTCTGATACCCTTACCACGGCTCGAATCACTATTCAAAACCTTTAATTGAATCCAAAAAAATTGTTGACTTAATTTTTGAGGATGAAATTGAAGGGGCTAGAGTGGGGGGGGGGGAGGGGGTATTGGAGAAGTTAGGCAGTATAACCATTATTTTTACGAACGGATTATCGTAAGTGTTCCAAAGTGATAGAGGCGAGCACAACATCTTGAATGGTACTCAGTATCATTGGAACTGGGTTCTTTTATCAAACGAGTGACAAAAATAAGTAAAGAAAATGATTACTCCATTTGTCCCGTTTTAAATCGCATGTTTTGACTTTTGAACATAATTACGAAAAATAAAAAATAGAGTTAATTTTTCGAAATTGCCGTTACTTTTTAGGAGGGGTGACGATAAATGAGAAGCTAAGGTGGAGAAGAGTGACTTATTTTAGAGATAGTTTAGGTATTTTACACATAAAAGTTTACGATAATAAATAACATGCAACTTGTTTCGAGACGGAGAAAAAAGGCAAACAGACAATTTAAAATGGGATAGAGGGAGTATAATTTAAGTATATAAATAATGAATATGTAATTTAAGATTGAGTAAAATTCTGTTATAAATAAAAGAGTAATTCCGTAAAAGGTCACCAGTTATAGGTTGTTTTGCATATTTAGTCTCTACATATTAAATATTACTAATTTAGTCCCCAATTATTATATTCATTTCCACGAATGATCTTTTGTTAACATTTCATTAAGAACGTGGATAAAATTGTAACTTCACATTCCTTTCTTTCCTCAATTAAGCTTCCTCCCTCCCCTCGTACTTCTTTCCCAAACCCGTCGTTAAGTTTGAAGCTTTGAACCTAAAATTGAAATTATTACTCTTCTCTCAATTGTTTATCTAACTGGTGGAACCCAAATTCACAACCAGTAATCTTCATGGATGAATTTTAATACTTATTTTCTATGCAATTTCTTGAGACTAACCGATAAAACTCATCCATAAAGCTTATTGGTTTTGATTTTATGTTCCAACAAGAAGACTAATAATTGAGAGAGGAGTGATCATTTCAGTTATGGGTTTAGGCTCTGTTCCGTACGCCTGATCAGATTGAATCTGATCTGAATTTTTGAAGTTCTGATCTGATCTGATTAGGTCTGACCTGATCTGATTAGATCTGATCTGATCTGATGAAATCTGATCTGACCTGATTGGGTCTGATCTGATCTGATTGGGTCTGATCTGATCTGATTGGATCTGATCTGATCTGATGTGATTGGATCTGATCTGATTAAATTTGGTGTAAATGAAATTAAATTTGATTTAAATTAAACTTAAAATTATACAAAATATAATAGTTTTAAAGTATTACAATTCATATATACATAAAATAAGTAAAATAAAAAAATCATCTAATCATTAATATGTTTAATTTTTTTAAAAATATTAAACATCTTTTCAATATCACAACTTTTTTAATTTGTGAAACTAAATAATCGGTATTTAAATAAACAAATATTAGAAAATATTGATGCTATTCTACAAAAATATCACATTGTATATACATATTACATGATAATATATTTCATGTTACAAATTAAAGATCATATAAAATTTTAAACACTAATATCGCTTTCACCTCTATCAATTTTGTCCTAAATTCACCCTTGTGTATATTATACCATCTAAAAGTTTAAAAGTAAATCTTTTTAAGTATAAAATATTTATAGTTTTGAAAACAAAGTTTTGTATAATTATTTTATAAACAAGTATTTTAAAATAAATCTTTTTAAAGTTTGAAAAATAAAACTTTTAGCTTTAACATTGCTTCCATGCATCATTTCTATCCTACAAGCTAAACAATTATTTAAAATAATGGTTTGTAGTTGAAAATAATAATAATAATAATA